TAGGTGAGATCTATAAGGGTCACGTCGTGTTCATCATATAGTACTCTCTTACGAACTCACTATATGAGTTAGGAAGTGACTGAAGAACCCAATCAACAGCCATCGCTTCACCGACAACGGATCCCATCATTCTTAATCTATCAATGTGTGACTTCATCCCTAAGACGTGTGCACACACCGACTTGCCCTCTTTATGTTTACTTGCCAAAAGGGCTTGAGTGATATTGAACCTTTCAATTTTACAATCTTGTGGGTTAGGGAGAATAATTGGAGGAGGAGGAGGAAGTGAAGCATGATTTCTTGTTCCTCGATCGAATCGTGGAATATCATCTTCATGTGGAATGCTTGTTCCACGGGATTTGAGAAGACCATAGTTGTCGAACTTTGACATCAGGAGAAAAACGAATTCAAGTTAGTTGATTGATTGAGTCCTTGGTAAATCACCCAAATGAAATTCCAAGGCTAGGATCCAACACAATATTCTACAACTCGGGAGAGGGATGCCGTAACCCAAATTGAAGAACATTTGAAGGTAAGTGAATGATGATTCACTAATTTTCACCATGAAAAACGAAAAAGAAATTTAAGTTTTAAATCTATGAAAACTCCTAGATCCTTTGAGATTCATTGAACATTTCAATGGCATGTTTAAATCTCAATATGCCCCTCTTGTTTGTGAGTGGGATGTCGAGGATCACAAAGCGGGTGTGAATAACCATGCAAACTACATGGTGCCCTCACATGTTACAATCACCTATTCGATGTGCCGGTAAACCACACACGCTCCACCGAACTATGACAAACATTGAGTCACCCTTTGCTACCTTTGCTTAGAACCATTTAGTGTGCCGGTAAACCACACACGCTCCACTAACGTCTTCGCAAGGGCACAAAGTGTAATTTCATGGAATTGCATCAATTCACTTTTGCCTAAGTAACTAAGATTGGGAATTTGAAAAACATTTAGTTACTTTGTATTTCATTATACTTATAATGGAAGGTTTCGTCCTATCCTACCCGTTCGGCTAACGACCCTCCACTAGTCAAGAGTGCGGTGGGTAAGAGTGGATACCCATTCAATCGCCATTTTATAGGCAATTTCCTTAAACACCCCTTATAGACCAGCTTCGTGAATGAGGCCTACTAACGGTAAGACTGACTTTTACTCATACATATATATAATGTTATACTTTTAATGTTATATATAGTATAGGGTGTATTTTATACTTTTAAAATACTATATGGTTAACTTTAACAATTACACTTTTAATTCAATTAAATGGTTAACCTAAACTTTTATGGATTTATTAAACCTCTTTTAATTATACTCCTTAATTAATTAATAAAACCATAAGGGTGTGATTTGAACTTTTTCAAAACATTACTAGGGTTTTAGAATTTAACATTCTTAATTAACTTTTAATCAACTTTTAAATTCCAAAACTTGATGGCAAATTTAGAAACATTTCAAAACATTAGGGTTAGAATTTAAATATACATCAAAATTAAACTTTTTAATCAAAATTTAAATTCCAAAACTTGATGGCAAGTTTTGAAACATTTCAAAACATTAGGGTTTTAACTATTTAAATTTCAAAACTTCAAAACTTTTGGGTTCAAATTTAAACTATAAAACCTAAAGGGGAAAATATGAAACTTTTCATAACAACAAGGATCAAATAATAAATAATCTAAACTAACATTTAATTACATAATTATCCATATTTGATTTGTTTAATGATTTCTTGCAAAACAATTTATCAATTTACTCAAAATAATTAATCAATTATCTTATAAAGAAACAATTATCTTATTAATTGATAATTATCTTTAATTAGATCAAGAATATAGTCATATATATCATAAAATCGGATTTATATTGATCTAATATGATAAGGTAACTATCCTAATGCAAAAACAGCAAGAAATCCCGAGATAAGCATAATCTGACAAGTTGACTCGTCGAGTCAGACATGAACTCGTCGAGTCTGCATGGACTCGGCGAGTCCAGCCTCCAGAATCCAAAAAATCGAATTTTCCAGTTATACAATGCATCAATACAATTGAAACCAAGCTAGGCTCTGATACCACTGATGGGTTTTGGTCAGAAGACATCCTATGTGCTCATACAAACCCTAATGCTTGGATCTAGGTTTCTCTATTGTACATGCTTTGAATCCAAGACTATAAACCCTAATTCTAGCATATAATTAATCATATTAATATGTAATTAGGTTTAAGATCATACCTTGATTGTTATGTAGCAATAACAATCCCAAATCTCCTTGTATTGACTTTGGAATGCTTAGAGTCACAAGTGTAACTCCTCTAATGGTTCACAAAAACCATAAGCAAGAGGATGAAGAGGAGAGAGGTTGGAGGCTGCCAAAACGTGTGTAAACCCTTACAAGAGGCTTAGCCACATTTTTGAGCCTTAAGGGGTCTTTATATAGTTGGGCTATTAGGGTTATCTAACAAGGAAACCCTAATTTGGATGCTTAAGCCCTAAGCAACCCATAGACTCCTTTAATTAAGCCCATGGACGATTTCCTTATGGGTTTCCCATTAGAATTCGTCCATCCCTTAATACAAGGCAACTCATGGCCCAAATTATAATTATCTTTAATTACAATTCCAGTCCCTTAAGTTTAATTAATCTCTTTTAGTCACAAAACTAATTACCAATTAATTATTGACTAATATTAATTAAACAATATGATTTCTACTTTAATATATTATTCCCATAATATATTAATAAATCATATTTAATCCTTTCTCTCCATAATTCATCCTATCAAGTTGCTTTGGTGAAGGCAACCCAAAAGGACCATGCACCATCGGGTCAAGTATATACCAAAATAGTTATGGACTTAGACACTAATCCAACAGAAAGGCCATGTCATAAATGAAGATGACACACATTTTTGCGTATCATGGAAGCCCTTGTGCTAAAGGAAGACGACACTCATTTTGCGTGTCATAATTTTAAATATTTTTAAAATTATATATTTTTTGATAGATTTACTAATTTTCAAATTAAATAACACATTAAAAGTCTAATAATACAAAATAAAATACCATAAACACTAAGAATAATTCATTGCACTAATATGTCAAATACAAATAATCATTGCAATATTAAGTAAATGTAACACAATGCTAATATTTCATAATATTTATTATACACGAAATATGAAAAAATTGAAATCCTTGAGATTAAAAGTACCAATAGAAGCTTCACGTGAGATACATACAGTTGGACCAGTAAGCAAGGATGTTCCTGAATCCATAATAACAGCACAAGAACACGTACGTGATATCTTCTGCTAGAAGTTGTCAATCCAAAACTATTGTTGAAGGTTGGCATGATAGCTATTAAGATTTGAGCATAACAAGAAACCACTCAATGTTAGGAACTCAAAATTTACTGCCACCATTATCATGTATACTCTGGACAAAAAAATAAATATAAAATTGAAATGAGTCAAAAGTTTAACTGTTTGGGCTATTTTTGTGTTTTTTTTTTACAATTTAATTTCACCTTGATGGCATTCTTAATTTCTGCAAGAACTAATGGTATTCTTTTTACAACTTGGGCATATGAATACTTATTGGCAAACGCATCAACAATGTCATTTTGGCCAATGTCAATCATATAAAGTGCTCATTGAAACCCATCATCATTTATCATCTTTGGTAAACTTGAATATATCACCTCAAAAAACTAAATTTACAAATCCCAAAATTGAAATTTTTAGGTAAGATAAGTTGCATGATATAAAAATCAATTGATAAATGGCTTTTTATGGTAGGAAGGGCATAACCGTCATTCGGACATTCCTATGATAAACCTATAAAGTTCACATGAAAGCTCTCTCAAGGTTGTGGGCAAGTTTAGTTCAGGCTCAGAAGTAGGAATATCCAAATTTGGAATATCCCACTGTCAGATCCAAGAAAAAAGAAAATCAATTATTGAAAATTTTAAAATCAAAATTTCACAAGGAGTGTTAATACTTAAAGAACACAAAAGGGTACCTTGGGCGTAAAATCTTTGGAAACTAATCTTGCATACCTCTATCAAAAGGTAAAAGCTTTCAAGTGTATGTGTCACACATGAAACAAAACATATAAAGGAATGTGTATATATAACATGGCTTTAAAAATTCACTTGATATTTACTCACTTGAAGATCTGCAAACACTTCAAATGGAATGTTGGATCATTTTCACTGTTACATAAATTATGCTTTGTAGAATTACTTGTGCACATGACAAGTTAGCACATGAAATTTGTGAATTTTCGGGCTAGTTTGTACTCTTGTACTAAGCTGAACTTTTGTGCTTCGAATTAAGTTAAGCCCTTGGTAAGGATGAAAATAGACTTCCATACCTGATTATAGGATTTTACCTCATGGCATTTGGAGCCTTTATGAATTTATTATGAATTTTCGAAGTTGATTGATGCAAACAGTGGGCTGCATGGACCAGTTTGCAAAGATTGGTACTTATACCCTTAAAGGAATTGGAATTAGGAAAAGTGGTCCAAAGTTCAGTGAAACTAGATACACTAACCTTTCCAGAAAACTATACTTCATGATTTTTGGACAATTTGATGGCCTTGTATGATTTTTATAAGATAAGGACAGATTGCAGCAACGTGCTGAAACATTTCATGACAGCATCAAACAAAATGGGATAAACAACTCACATAAACTCAGAATCAGGATAGGAAAACAAAGAAAAATGTAGTAGACATTCATACCTTTCCACAATGAAAACCCCATTAAAATTCTCAACCTAACACCATTTCCCTTTCTATGGCATGAATTACCATTCTGCCCTTCTCTTCTTCCTCATTTTCTGCTACATTTTCAAAAAGAAAAAAAAAAATGTGTGGTAAAGATGGTGAAAATCATGGTACTTAAGTGCTTCAGAAAATGATGCAAGAAAAATCACTCTAACAGAATACCAATTGAGAGTCATTCCATTCCATCAAAATCCTTTAAAAATAATGTTTGTTGGGATTTCTGCAATATTTCTGTAACTGCTTCATTCAAATATTCCCTAAAAATCATGTAGCTAATATCAAGACATCCTCTGGAAACAAGTCATCTTGTTCAAAGCTGTGAATTTCTTCAATCTCTAACTTTCCTATAGAGGAAAATAAGATGATAAAAACAGTTGGTGGATATAATCAGCAAAAATGGACATGTGAAAGATAGATGATGGTTTATGGTTTTGAAACCTTTATTGCTTATTACTTCAAACAAGTGAGGTTCACGGATGATTTCCTGTGTTACTTTGCTACTTGAGTAGCTTTGTTTTCCACCAAGTGCAAGCCAGAAAGCTAAGCTCTCTTTTCCTTCTCTAGAGAATTTTACAGGTACTCCAGACTAAAGATATAAGAAAAAAGAGTTGAATAAATTATCAAGGATTGGAAAGGGGTATAAAAGTAAATAAAGATGTAAGATCAATAATATTTCAAAACTAAATTTATATATAATCAGCAGTGCAACAAGTAAAAAAAAGCTATTATATTTATGGTACCTGAACAGGTTTGCATTTTATAGAGTTGAACATTGAAGTAGTTTGTTGAACAGCTGTTTTTTGGTCCTCCTGTGATCAGACAACATAACAAGTCTTCATCCCAAATACACAATTAAAGATTTTTTTTTTCTTAAAAAAAAAAAGAAAAGAAATAATATGGTTTTAGTTTACCTGGATGCTATCCTTCCCAATCCAACATCACATGTAGTGATCTTCTTTCTTTTCATCAGAATGGTAGGAGTAAAGACAAATATAGCAATCTCCACTGTAAAATTTTCCAATATCCTCCTTGGGTAATTCCGTCTTTTCTTCACCATCAATACGCCATACCTAAAGCGCCTAAAATTATTTTATCTTTCTACATTAAATCTAAATGTAGCAACAAGTTTATGATCTGAAACCTCAATTTTTCCATTTTCTCCAAGCAAAGGTGGAACTTCCTCCTCTACAGGAGCCGTTTTTGTCTGACCTTTGGCAAAAGCACCTTGTTTCTTCAGCAGAGCTAGTCATTAGAACAAGAGTAGAACTTAGGGTAAGTTTTAGAAAAAAGTCAAAAATAGCCCTAGAAAACTCAAACACCCATGTCCCATGTAACAAATATATATATATATATATATATATATATATATATATATACATACATATATATATATATATATATATATATATATATATATATATATAAGATATAGAATGAATCTACCTGCTACTTTTCCTCTAGTTTCCTCAGGAGGTCAACTTAGGGTTCAAGAATGAATCTACGCCCACAGAGTAAATAATCCAACTCACTTGTAGAAAATATTTGTAAACTTGAAGCCTCAAAAACCTGATATTAATAAGATAAAATATTAGCTTAAAAAAATTATTTTGTATATTTTCTAATGCCATAAACAATTTAGCATATTAGAATGTTGGAAAAAGATGATGACCTGATTAAAGCCAGCTCTAAATGCTTCCAATTGCCTTGTGATACAGAGAATCAAACTTACTTCTTGTTTCTCCTCCCACGTTTAGGTCCCCATCCTTCAAGCTTTGCAACAGGGAAACGCACATATGAAGTTCATATGTGGTGGAACTTGTCAAATAAATAAAAAAGAGAGAACTGAATGCGTTCATCTTAATCGGTCACTTCAATCAAGAATTAGTGCCCTAAATCTTCAACTACATATGTCTTAACAATTTCACATAAATAATTATAACGGATTGTTACAATTATCTGAAATTTCAGATCTAGGGATGACGTACCTGGAGCCCTTGGTTGCTCAAAGATGATTTCCTCGGTAGAAACCATGGTGAGTTTGGCGCCGACATCCTCTTGAACGGCATCACCGAACTTAGGCCAAGAACACCTCTCCATGGCGCGCTTGCTCAGCCGAGCATTAGCGATTTTATGGATGCGTGTGGTGGTGGTAATCTTAACCCGATTACCTTCGTCGTTGAATTTGTACTTTCAACCCGTGTTCATCGGGTCCAATAACCTGTTTCGGCGGCAACAAATCGTCATAATCACCGCCATCAGCTTCTTCCTCCAATTCGCCCCATCTGGGTTTTTGAGCCATGTCTGCGAAGCTGCTAGAATTGTTGCTGAGGGAAAATTAGGGTAGGAGATTCGAAGTGGTAATGTGAATAAGATGAAGATGTAATGAAGTCGGTTGTTGTGATTCTTTAGGCTTCAAAATTGATAGATTTTTTTTCGATTCTTTCAAGTTTGAATAAGAAAATGAGAAAGAGTTAGGGAAATCAAGAGTGCAATGCTCGTCCTTGTTAGGTTGAAGATGAAAGATAGATAGAAGATAGAAAAAAAAGGCGGGTTTTCAAAATTTTGGGGATTTCATTTCCCCCCTTGTCTACTAAAAGCGCGTTTCATTAAAATTATAAAGCGACAGGTACAGACGACGCGCGTTTAAGATAAAGTGCCCTCCGTGTTTTTAATTTTTTTTCTTGAGACACTAAATTAAGGGCACGCAATAAAGCGTGACGTAAATCCTTAAATTTTTTGGAGAGATGACACTATTTTAAGGGCACATCCTTTTGCGTATCGTTAATTATCGTGTGTCGTAAAAAGCACGTCATTAAAGGTCTTTTTTCTAGTAGTGTCACTTGAAACAGCCAAAAAATAACTAAAATAAAAATTTACAATTTTATATATTGCGGATTGATGAGTCATAAAAAAAGTAGACAGACTATGGAACATTAGCTCATTCTTATGAAATAATAGTCTACTTGGCAACCTAATATCGTAGTCAACTCACTTTGACCATAGGTTTCTCTAATAACCTACGGTTTCTTAGGCTATTTGGGTATACTTTCTAATTTTTGGGTATAAAGTGAAAAGTGATATGCTAAAATGGTTAGATTATTAATTTTTTTAAAATTATCATTTAAAACTAATGGCAATAGTGTTATTTTTAATTTTAATAACATATACAGGGTGATTTTTTAAATCAATAATTGCTTTTTTTAATACCATATACGAGGTGATATTTTATCAATAATTCTAGTGCACTCACGTGGTTTCTAATGAAAGGCCAGAAATTCATAATTGTTGATATGAAAAGGACATAGCATTATCGTCAATGTGAACAATACTTCACATTTGGTAGTACACAAGTCAATTCCAACTGTGTAGCTTAAATAGTATAAATGTATTACCACCGTAGCTTTTTTATAAAAAAGTGCAGAATTCTACTCTTGATTTCGGACACCGACCAAAATAAATATGATCACAAAAAAAAAAAAAAAAAAAAAAAAAAATCCGCACGGGACCGAATGATAACCTATACCGAGATATCTAAAAATGTATATGCTCTGCCATGTCCATTTCAGGAGTCAACCTTGATGAAGTAATAGTTTGCGAATAAGTAACGGATCATCCGTCTGGACTGGTACATCCAACCAATGAACGAAGCTAGTTGTCGCGGATTATTCATGACGTGTTGCGTATAAATGATTAAGCACTTGCAGTAGCTATCATTCGTTTGTTCGCAAGCTGAAAATTAATTAATCGGTAAATATCAAGAAACATATTATAAACCAAAAAGTACTAAAAACTAAACACATATAACAATACTTAATCGATTTTTATATGTTAATATCTATAAAATAGCAAAACAAACTTAATAATAACTTAATCAATTTGTTTTCCCTTTCTCTACCGGATAACTAAAGAAGGATAAATGAATAAAATAACAATTTACTTGTCTTTCTTATTAATACATTATACTTTGAAATATCTACTTGTTTTTTATATACATTACATTGCTATAATTGGTAGATTTCTCAAAGTTTAATGGTGTAATGAGCAAAAAGATATTTTATCACAAAGCGGATTTCTAATTGACATGATTTCAAGTTGTAGATCATATAAAAGGCAGCAACAACTTTTACAAGTTATAACAAAATTTAATCATTATACAACTTATAACGGAATTTTTTTTTATGAAAACAGTAGGTTCTTATGAAACCTACGATATACAAGCGATCAATACACAAAATGTGCATTAATTGCTTGTACACTATAGGTTTCATATGGAGCCTACGATTTTTCATTTTTTTAATAAAAAATTAACACAATGCTTTTATATTTCAAAGTTTAAAAGCTATAAACAAAAAAAGTAAATAAAAAAAATTCGAAATAATAGGCTTCATAAGAAGCTATTGTTTCCTTTTTTTTTTTTTCCCCACCAAAATCAAACTCATTGTACTATACTAAATAAGAAAAAAAAAACAAAAAATCGGAGATATAGTTGGTTCTTGTTAGGAGCATTCATTGACAGTATTTCCTCACTTGAAACACACAAAAATAATGATGGAAATGAAAATTTACAATTTTATATATTCTGAGCCGAGGGCCCTAACAGACTACGAAACAGTAGTTCATTCTTACTAAAGGGAATATGACTTATCGAGGTAATTAACTTTTTGGTATGTTCACATCTGGGTAACTATCTTTTTTTTGTACATATCTAGGTAACAAACTTTTTGGAAGTGTTCACATATGACCATTATGACCTGCTATAACAAGTTAAATCCTAGATGTGAACGCTTTTAACAAGTTTGTTACCTAGATGTGTACAAATTAAATAGTTACCCAAATATGAACAAAACGAAAAGTAAAAATTAAATTACATGAATGATCCATGTGGTTTGGGGGAATTTGTGGTTTTGGTCGCTAACTTATTTTTTTTAACTTAAATGGTCCTTACTGTTTATTTTTGTTGCGCGTTTGTTCCCCGTCTTCCCTAAAAATGCTATTGTGCCCTTATTAATTTATTTTTTTTAATTAGTTTTCTTATCTATGTATTTATTTTTTACATATTCAAAAAAATTAATAGACCACACATATTTGTATCTCTTCGGATGATCCCTACCATTTATTTTTTAATTAATTTAATTTTTTAACTCGGATGGTCTCTACTATTTAATTTTGTTACGAATATGGTCTCTATCTTACTTAAAAAAGACTATTGTGCATTTATTATTATTTTTAATTAATTTTCTTGTTTATGTACTTATGCTTTATATGTTTAAGAAAAATTAGTAGACCCCACATATCTGTATCTCTTCTAGTGATATCGACGTCTTCATCATCACTTCTTTTTTCGGTCCTTAAACTCCGTAGAATCAACACCACAACCCACTAAAGATGAAGAGACAGTAGGTTATGGTGTTGGTTCGCCAGAGTTGAAGTACCAAAAAAAAAGGACGGTGAAAACGTCGATGTTACTAAAGATGGAAAAGAAATAGAAGATGAGGAGGATCAGAGATGAGATGGTGAATGGTAAGACTCAAATTAAATTTCTCAAATGTGGTTTCAGGTTTACGGTGATGAGATACATATATGTGGGGTATATTAAGTTTTTATAAAAAAATAAATACATAAATAAGAAAATTAATTAAAAAAATTAATAAGGAAAAAAAATAGTATTTTTAGATAAGACAGAGATCAAACGCGTAACAAAAATAAACAGTAGGGATCATCCGAGTTAAAAAAAAATTAATTAATTAAAAATAAACAGTAGTGATCATCCAAGGAGATACAAATATGTGTGGTCTATTGATTTTTTTAAATATGTAAAAAAATAAATACATAGATAAGAAAATTAATTAAAAAAATAAATTAATAAGGGCACAATAGTATTTTTAGGTAAGATGGGGACCAAACGCGCAACAAAAATAAACATAGATAAGAAAATTAATTAAAAAAATAAATTAATAAGGGCACAATAGTATTTTTAGGTAAGATGGGGACCAAACGCGCAACAAAAATAAACAATAGGGACCGTTTAAGTTAAAATAATAAGTTAGCGACCAAAACCACAAATTCCCCCAAACCACAGGGACCATTCATGTAATTTAATTTTTACTTTTCGTTTTGTTCATATTTGGGTAACTATTTAATTTGTACACATTTAGGTAACAAACTTGTTAAAAGCGTTCACATCTAGGATTTAACCTGCTATAGCAGGTCATAATGATCATATGTGAACACTTCCAAAAAGTTTGTTACCTAGATATGTACAAAAAAAAGATAGTTACCCAGATGTGAACATACCGAAAAGTTAATTACCTTGATAAGTCATATTCTCCTTACTTAATAGTAGTCCACTTGCCAACCCAATATCGTTGACCGTAGTCAACTTACTTTGACCGTAGTTTGTCTAATAACCTAGGGTTTCTAAGACTATGTTGGTATATTTTCTATTTTTTAGCTATAAAGTGAAAAGTGATCATGTAAAATGGCTAGATTAGTAATTTTTTCTATAATTATCATTTAAAACTAGGGATAACGACTTGAAAGGGTAACGAACTTTCGAATTTTGTCACATTTAGTCACTAAATTTTTTTTCGTTATCTATTTGCCATTGAACTATTGAAACTGTTCACATTTTACCCTTATGACCGGCAACAGCCGGTCATAAGGGTAAAATGTGAACAGTTTCAGTAGTTCAATGGCAATGGATAACAAAAAAAAGTTTAGTGACTAAATATGAACATAATCGAAAGTTCGTTTCCCTCTAAAAAGTTCAATGACTAAATGTGAACAAACTTCCTCTTGTATTATGTTTTAGCAATTTATTTATTTTTGTTAAATTGTAGCAACATTTGTTGATGAAGAAATCTATGAATTAAAAAAAAAAAAAAAAAAAACCTGAAAATATATTTAAAAAAAAAACAAAAAACAAAAACCGAAATACAAAACCAATGATTTGACATTTTCCAAAATAAAAAATTAAAATTTCCAATCTGATTTTGGTTTTATAAAAAAATGAACCATTCTCACTGATGTGAATTATGATCATTGGTTTGGCATGCGAAATTTGTGACATCCCATGAATATGTAGTTACAACATCGTCTGAACTCGTAATTCATAGTAAAGGGGTTAGAGTATCATCGCATGAATACGTAGTTACAACATCGCCTGAACTCGTAATTCATCACCTACAGGTTATAGGCCTGCTGGTGTTTCCACTGGGTTGTCTAGAATAGTCCGTGGTCGTCATCTATACTCTGGTAGATGACTACATCGCCACATTGCTGGTTAAGGTTATGGTATCTCCTTTCATCCTACATCACATATTCATCATCATCTATATACCTAATTATCATTACATATCTCTCATCATTTTATTTCATCACACACCAACTATTTCATCTACCCATGTTTCATCCACAATATATTTGGAGATATAAAATAAATATACCGTTTAAATCTTTTAAAACATGTATAAAATCGTTCATTCAGCATAGACAGCAAGTATTCAAATAATATGCACACATAGCACGTAATTTACATAAAATACTTCATATCTATGTGTAAGATGAAAGTAAGTATATTTACCATAAAAATCCCATAAATGCTTCCTAACTTCGAACCCCAAGGTTTACTCTACTAAAGCTTCATATTCTCAGCTCTTTGAACCTAGAAGGGTCCAGATCTATCACACCAAAAAGCTCAAGATAGCTCTTCCTCTCACTCTACACACTCAAGCTCGCTAGGGTTCTCCCTTATAGGAAAGGTAGTCACAATTGAAGGTCATAAGTGCCTTTAAATATGGCTTGGGCCCAAAGATTTAGGGTTTCTGCCAACAGCGCAGACTCGTCGAGTCGCCTCACCGACTTGTCGAGTCCATTCATTAATCCGAGTCATCAGTTACGACCTTACTCGACGAGTTGATGCGTCAACTCGTCGAGTCTCTCTTCTTAACTCAAAAGAAAAATACTTAAATTATGATACCTGGAAATCCGGATGTTGCATTTTGTTTTTTTATTTCATAGATTTCTTCATCAACAAATGTTGCTACAATTAAACAAAAATAAATAATTTTGCTAAAACATAATACAATAGGAAGTTTGTTCACATTTAGTCATTGAACTTTTTAGAGGGAAACGAACTTTCGATTTTGTTCACATTTAGTCACTAAATTTTTTTTCGATATCTATTTGCCACTAAACTATTGAAATTGTTCACACTTTACCCTTATGACCGGTAACAACCGGTCATAAGGGTAAAATATGAACATTTTCAATAGTTCAATGGCAAATAGATAACGAAAAAAAGTTTAGTGACTAAATGTGATAAAAGTCGAAAGTTCGTTACCCTTTCAAGTCATTATCCCTTAAAACTAACAACGATGTTGTTATTTTTATTTTTAATAACATATAAGGGTGATATTTTAAGTCAATAATTATTATTTTTGATAACATATATGGGATGATATTTTAAGTCAATAATTGTAGTGCACTCTTGTAGTTTCTAATGAAAGACCAGAAGTTCATTATTGTTGATATGAAACAGGACCGTGGTTTCTAATGAAAGGCCAGAAGGTCATTATTGTTTATAGGACCTACCATTAATTGTCAATACCTCACATTTAGTAGTGCACAAGTCAATTCCAGCTTCGTAGTTTAAATACTAGAAAGATGGAAGGAGCATTGATGGAAAGAAAAAAAAAGACGATAGCAAGATGGCAAGCTCAAGCTCAAGCTCTAATGAGTCTAATCCATATGTGATGGTGGAAGTTGGAGAAGAATACCCATACCCCACACATGTTTGTGCCCCAAATCTTGTTACCTTGAAGCTGAGTTGTAGGGATGAGTATAGTATGTGGAAAACACAGATGCTATGTCTGTTAGCGAGTTATGGTATGTGTGGTTTCATCGATGGATCTTATATATTTGAAATCCTTATACCTTTGTGTTAAAATGAAAATTTAGATGAACAAGATAAAAAAAGAGCAGAACTTCATCAAATTGTGTACCAGGCTACTGTAGCAGGGAACTGGAATTTAGTTCATGTGATTTTGAAGACTGGACAAATTACAGTGATAGACAAGATCACCAATAATGAGAACACAGTACTCCATGTAGCAGTGGGTACTACCAAGAAGTCAGAATTCTTAGAGAATTTGTTGAAACTGATACCCGAAAACACGCCAATAGATGTGCGGAATTCAAATGGAAGCACACTTCTTCATGTTGCTGCTATTGTTGGCAACACCGAAGCTGTTAATGTCTTGGTGGAAAAAAACCGAGATTTGTTGTTGGCCGTGGACAACGAGGGTCATACACCACTAGCCGTAGCTCTTTCTAATATGCATACAGAGACTTCTAATCAACTGTTGCTTCACATCAACGCTGAAAAGGAGAAGTTTTCCAGCTCAATTGGTGATGCTCTGTTTTCTGGCACAAGTGGTGATGACCTTTTAGTCACTGCTATTTCTTCTAAAGATTTTCGTAAGTGTATATTCTATTGGATTCAGATTAATCCAATAGTAAAACTAAAAAGCCTAACTTTGGAGTATATATGTAGGTTTGGCACGTAAGATGATGCGGAAGTACAAAGCGTTGCATGGTGATGCGGTAATGGTGGCTCTAGCTCAAAATTTCCCATGTGAACTCAGTATATTGGAAGAATATATAGGTTTGTTTATTTTTATCTTGATGCTCATGTTTCAATATTATACCTGCTTAATTTATTATAATTAAGGCCTCTCTAACGATGTACACTTATTTTGTATGTGGAAGGGACTTATATAATACTTTTCAGAGTAACCAGATTTCTCGAAGCCTCGTTTAATTATATGGTTTTCAGATGGGTCCCGTTATGTGGTTCATGGGTTGGAAAGATAATCCGCTTATTCTATACCGGTAGGTCGTGAGCTAATATTTTGTTCAAGAGTAAATTACACGAAGGGTCCTTAGGTATAGAGTAATTTGCACGTTTGGTCACTGACTTATTTTTTTTAATCTGTAAGGTTCTTATTGTTTGTTTTTATTACGTGCTTGGTCCCTGTCTTACTTAAAATATTATTTTGCCCTTGAAATTTTAATTTATTTAAATAAACACACCCACAACTCCATTCCCTCATCTTACCTTACCTACCCCACTAATTTTCCATATTTAAATAATACTATTTTTAGGTAAAATAAGACCAAGTGCGTAACAAAAACAAACAGTAAGGACCATATGTATAATAAAAACAAATAGTAATGACCTTCCGAGTTAAAAAAATAAGTTAAGGATCAAATGCACAAATTATCCCAAACTATAAGGACCATTTGTGTAATTTACTCTTTGTTCAATAATTAATATTTGCACTCACAAAAAACGTGTTTTAGAAACTTTTAATCATATGTTTCACTTTCCATATAACCACATGATTCTTACAAGCTTTCTATCATGTAATGCAGGAACTGTTTGGATTGTTTTGCATTTCCCACCAATATTTAAGATTTTAGGTAAGATGAACAAAATTAAAGTTAGCAACATCTCATAACAAAAAATGCATGGAAGAAAGAAAAGTTATCTTTGTTTGAGATTCTCATTTGGGTCTATGTTTTCAGAGAGACCATTCATCAAAAAGAGAGTTCAAATTCATCAAGATGCTTACAGATTGTTAGTTGATGCATGTTCAAAGATAAAGTCATGCAAAGACTCCCGCTGCTATCATCACTATTACACGAATCCCATCTTTGAAGCCACAAGACTAGATGCATGTGTGGTTGTAAGCAGCATTATAAGTGAATTTCCAAATGCAGTTTGGAGTGTTAATGAAAATGGGCACAACTTTATTCAGTACGCCGTGATAAATCGCTCAGAAAAGGTTTACAACCTTTTGTATCAAATGAGTGAACATAAAAATATTTATAGAACGATCAAAGATTCCTTTGGAAATAACCTCTTGCATCTCGCGGGAAGATTGGCACCTGCCAATAAACTGAATCTTATATCGGGTGCTGCTTTACAAATACAACGTGAATTACAGAGGTTTAAGGTAGGCATAATCTTACATTCAAAATTATTTTGTGTAGCATATATATAGTTGACATATTTTTAATGTTGTAGGAAGTTGAAAGATTTGTGTGTCCTCTAAACGTCGTACAAAAAAACTCGTTTCACGAAACACCTCAAATGGTGTTTACAAGAGAACATAAAGAGTTGGTGATTGAGGGAGAAAAATGGATGAAGGCGACTGCAGAGTCTTACACAATTACAGCAGCATTGATCACCACCATTATGTTTGCAGCTGCTATTACAGTGCCAGGAGGAAACAATCAGGAAAAGGGAATTCCAATCTTTAGTCACGCAAAGGCCTTCACAATATTTGCGATATCAGATGCCATATCGTTATTTGCATCTGTAACTTCGTTGTTAATGTTTTTGTCGATTCTCACAACACGTTTTGCTGAGTAGGATTTTCTTTTCAAGTTGCCTTCAAAGTTGATAATTGGGCTGGCAATGTTGTTCATCTCAACGACATCGATGGTAGTAGCTTTTGGTGCAACATTATACCTTGTATTTGGTAACGACAATTCACGGATTTTGACCCCGATAGCTGTATTCACATGCTTACCAATTACTGCTTTTGTGACCCTGCAGTTCCGTCTTGTCATCGACTTGATCAGCACTACATACGGTCTTAGTATTTTTGGAAGGAAAAGAAACAGTGTGTTGTATTAAAGCTTAGGGTGTGTTTGTAGTATTTTTGGTAAGAAAAGAAATTGATTGTGTACTAAATCTGTGTGCACAATAATAGACAAAATAGATGTGAAAAGTTTTAGAAAATAAATTCGTTCATTACTACAAGAAGGGACTATTAGAGCATCTGGGGTACACAAAAAGCCATTATTGGCTATGTGGCACCCTCATATCATAACATGATCATAACATCATGAAGACCATTTCCCCGTTGGTGTTATAACATATCTTGTTGGCGTGATGACATATTGAAACGGAAACATTGATTGGCTGCACATTTCATCTCTTTTTATTTTTCTTCCCTTAACCTTCTTTAAAGGTGTTATAACACAATGAACACCATTTCTCCCTTGGTGTTATAAGGTGTTATTGATGGGTTTTGAGCACTACATCATTCCTATAGTGTACATGCAAACCCTAATAGTTTTGGATCTAGTTTGTCTAATGAACATGCAATTGATTATCAAAAGCCATAAACCCTAGATCTAACATATCATGAACTGAAATAAGGGTTTAGTAATTACATTTGATTGTGACATAGCAATAACAATCAATTCCTTGCTTTGATTGGCTTCAGAAAGTTAGTTCCTCAAGTGTTGCACCTCTAATGGAGTCACAAACACCACTAAGCAATTGGATGAAGGTGAGAAGAGAGGGGAGGCACAAAAAACGGCCGGAAACCCTAAAGGAACATTTAGCCACGTTTTTGGGGGCATAAGGGTCCTTTATATACATGTAGGCTATTAGGGTTTGCAACTAGGAAACCCTAATCTGACTGCTTAGGCCCTAAGCAGCCCATGAACTCCTTTAACATATCCCTTGGACGAATTCCTTATGAGCTTCCCATAGAATTCATCCAACCTATATATTATTAGGTGATCCATAGCCTAATTGTAATTATCTTATAATTACAACTCCAGTCCCCCAAGTTTAATTAATCTCTTTTAGCCACACAATTAATTATTAATTAATTCTTGACTAATATTAATTAAACATTATGATTTCTTCTTTAATATATTATTCTCATAATATATTAATAAATCATAATTAATCATTTCTCTCCTTAATTCATCTTACATATTGCTATGGTGAAGGCAACCCAAAAGGACCATGCTCATAATCGGGTCAGTTACATACCAAAATAGTTATGGACTTAGACACTAATCCAACAGTCTCGCACTTGGATAAGTCTAATAACTATTATGCATAACTTCAGAACCTGATCAGCAATCGTAGCTTTCAAAAGCCGCTGTCAACTCTGATCTTATTAGATACGCGTGTCCTTTAGATAAGGGATCATATATTCCTCCATTCTCAAGATATCGTATATACACAAGACATGAATTTCGACCATTCTCTTTATACTATTTCCCGACTTCCGATTTATGATGACTAACAACATACTACAATTGAGCACATCAACTTAGTCTCGGCTTGGCCAAGCGCTTAAGTGTCATCACTAAATCATCGAGGGGCCCACATATATCATTTTTATCCCACTTTGGGTAAAAGGAATGGATAAACCTCAACTCAAATGCTTGCTTGGATTTACTGATCGAATCACACACAACAATAAGTTCTATAACACCAAGTTACTGGTGCGTTTACTTATTATCAATGTGCAACCGACCAACAAATAATAACTCACACATCTCGGTTTCAAGAATATACAATATTATCGACTCACAATCACTCGCGATATAATCCATGAAGTGATTCACGTGAGCGTGAGTTTAATCCAATACTCTAATCTTATCAAAGCTCATGAACTCTGCAACAAAATTGTGCTATGTCTAAACTCTTAATTCAATCTACAGACTCTTCATGACATTCTTGCTTCATACCTACTTCCAAAGTATAACCGACTGTGGAGGTTTGAATAACCCAGTTATTCTGGAAGTCAAAACATGCAAAGTGAAACACAACGATAATACTTAATCCTATATAGTCCCAAACTTTTGAATATAAATAAAACACCTTTCATTTAATCACCATATTGATTACTCATTATTCATTGTTTAATATTTCAGATAATCAACTTGACACTTGAATTATACTAACAATTGTCCCATGCTCCAAGCATGCACACTTTGTTTACCTATGGTCCATACTTTGTGAAATAGATTAATTGAAAAACTTTTTCCAACAAAACTCATTTCACAATCCCCAATCCTTATCGTTAGTGTAAGAATACCAAATTCTTGCCACTTTTAGAATATGTTAGATTCTAACATTTTATGCAACGATCATTTCGTAATGGCACAGCACAAAGTCACCTAGACTCGGCCAATGAAATTACAAAGTACTCTATTGGAGATTGTTACAAGACAATTCCATAACCGTAAAGTCTCACATTCAAAGTACATTCCTTTGAACATCCTTCTCGCATAAAAGTTTCTAATCTAGACATTTTTCTTAATATCCAACTCCCATTTATGGAAACATTTCCATATTTTCCACGTGACAACTTACTCTAAATAGAATCTTATCTATTCATACTAATGTCAACATGGTCCTTCCTTTACTATACTTCCAACTGCTCACAAGTGACAAATTCTTAGCGAACTTCAGATTGTCCTTTGACAGTTGTTTAATTATTTAGTCAAACCAGTTCTAGTCCCTTTTCCCTCTTAATTCCCTAGGCATTTGGAAAATTTAGAATGGTCAAATATTATAGCATATGCAATCGATCCTATACCCGAAGCGTATGGGACACGATGCATAATGTCTCACATAAAGACATGATACTTTATCAGTCTTTTTCCATAATATTTTATGTGCCAGGTTATCACAATTCGAAATCTGAAGAGGGATGCCGTAATCATAATCGAATTTTGAGAATGCACTATGTATCCTTGACTAAATTTTATTAAAATTTCTCAATCTAAGCTTTTAGATTTTGAAACGAAGTATAATATTCTCTCCCTTAATTATAGCAAAAACAACTTTTCAACCCATGCAACTTTGCAAAGTGAAACTTTGTTTTCTATAATTAATATTACTAACCTGCAATACTTAAAATAATAATCATGCTCCCACTAACATGATGATTATCTCTTTTAGCATAACACTTATGCTCCCACTAGTTTTGACATGTATTCAGAAAACAGCTGAACTACTAGAAAAACAATGCTTATTGAATTTCTTAAGTTTAAATTTCTGATACTTGATGCTTTGATAAACCTTTATCTAAGCCTCTTAACCTCATACACCTTTCCTTAGATAGCTGGAATGTGTGTTTAAACAATTCAGAACTTATAGCAATTAGTCCCAAATGTTTAGACTAATTGTCAAATCTCACAATTCGAACTATGAAAAGAGATGCCGTAATCATAATCGAATTTGAGAATACAATTTTCACAAATGCCATCTCCTTAAAATCTCTTTTAGTGAAAGAATTTTCTCACAATCATTTTCATGAATGGAGAGAAACCTTATGACACTTAGATTTATCTGTTGTATGTGTTCCTATCAAAACCATATGGACTGAACTTGTTTATTCTTGATTTCTTGTCTTATGGTAGCACGAATGCCCACCATTGCTTCTAGGTTTTCAAGAAGCTCACCCCTTCCTATCAATGTACTTTCCATTGATAGGGTGGCTTGCCTTTATTCAATTCAATTGAGAAATCATAGAACTCATATTGCATAGTTGAATTAATCTGGAATGGCACAGAACCAAAATTATGTCAACACGATAGGTCGCAAACCTCAAGTCGTGTGCTAGTGATTCATTATTGGTTTGTTCTTGAACTTCTCAAGACCATTTTGACTCCCACTGACCTCTTGACATATATGATTCTCTTATCAAAGAACTTTCCTTGACAAAACAAATATTCAAGAGTTAGCACGGAATCCTATCAAGACTAACACTTCAATTAATTGGTTCTAGTTGGTCTTTGTCTTCTTCAAGACATCACAACTTACCAATTTTAAATGTGCAAGAATAAGAAACTTTCCTTATTCCACATTTTTTGAGTGTTATAAACCTACTTAAAACCATGTCACTCAATTCTTAATCGCAGAGTATGACTCTAAGACTCGATATTGGAACGAAGTATGATTGACTTATTGATTTTAACAATTTCCATAATTCTGGAGTCCTCTTCATAGACATAAAAATGCACTAAGACTCACTTAGAGGATCAATTGAGATATGGTTCTTAATCATTAAGACTTATCACAATAAAAGTTACTCTCCCTTCTTCTTAGAATAGAGAAACTTTTATCTTTCTTCATTTTTGATCCTTCTTATTCGTTCTGCCATTTATTGAAAACTTTTCAATAAACTCAGAGTTACACTTAATCTTATAAGTATAATCATATTTACTAAACTTTAGTAAATCATGACGAATATCTTTATCATTCTTGTGGTGGACTTGATTGATGCACAACATTGTGAACTCGATCTCCTAGTCCTTCACTTAACTCTTTGTCAATGAATTAGTCTTGAATTTCCAATTATAAAGTTTCTCATTCATCACACAACCAAGTTGTATGATTCCAAGTTTTTGTCCAATTGAAACTTGGGCAATGAGAAACTCTCCCTATTTGGAAAATTCTCGACATTTCCATAAATAACACAATTAAGAATCAAATCCATTATTGCCAATAATAGAACCTTCAAACATCAATTTTTCATACATGCCATTGCAAGGATAAATAAATAAGATAAAATCAAAATTTATTTTATTGCGGAAAAACTTGTCCTTAATGCAATTCAACTGAAAACTATGCTATTACATATTTCTCAACAATCTACCCTAACTCTAAAGTAGCAGCTCAAAAATCAGATCTTTGAATCCATGCCATCGAAATCCATTTCTTCGTGATCATATTCAACACGCTTCTTCCTTAAGCTTCCTTTCTTTTCTTCGATCTTGCAAAACATCAAAATGTAATCTTATCACATCATGTATTAAGAATCAAAAATAGGAACTTATAGAATTAGTTAATGGATTTTACCTGAAGTAGATCCATAC